TGTACTGTTGTTGGCCCATTAAACCTATAAGCTTAAGCCCAAAAAAATTTGTCTATATAACCAACACCTTCTTCCCATCCTCTCCCTTCCGCCTGCCATCGTCTCAGTCGAAACTCTAACTCTGTGGATCAGTATCTGCAATTGATTCTTATTTTTCAATTGGTTTTGTTAATCCTCTTGTTTCCGTGTCGTCTCCATGCTTATGATTCAGTTTTTAGAATTCTTTTCCTGATTCATCCGCAGAGAGGGGGAAAAGATGAAGAGTGCTTTATAAATTTCTGACACCTCTTGTATGAGAAAAGCTTCAAGCTTTTCTTTGAGCACACATAGCAACTCTCTGAGACTCCTGATTCATCCTTTTCTTTTTTTCTATTCTCTTTCATGTTATTTTGGTGGTTTTATCATTTTGATCATTTCGCTCCAAAATATATTTTTTTTTTTTTTCAAATCTTATGAAAACATCTCTGAGTACTGGTTTTCCTTTTTCTTCTTTCTCTATGATTAAGGAACCAACAATTTTCAATATCTATTCATAGTATAATAGTACTGAAAATTATTTTACAAGGATTAAATGCAGTTTATTTTGTAAAATTATTTAAATATTTTATAAAATATTAATTAAATTAGTAAAATAAATACATAAATAAGAGAAGCAATCTTCAATACAGTATTATAATATTTTACAATACGATCTCCATATATATTTTTAAAGCATCCATATGGCTCAATTTTCAGCTTTCGGTGCGGAGAAGCAAGGCGCGTTTGGAATCGTGGTTGGAGTTTTTTTGTGTGTAATTATATAATGTTTTTAGAAATATGAGTGTTTGATAATTTGTTTTTTAGATTGTGTTTTTTTTAAACTACAGAAAGTCAATAAATTTATTATAATTTTATATATAAATTCAAAATTTTTATTTTAGAATTTTTTATTTGTGATTTTTACAAAAAAAATATAAATATTTAATATAATTATAAAATTATCAATTAAAATCTAATTTTATATAATTTAATTATATCATAATTTATAATATTTTAATAATAATAATAAATTTAAAAAACTTAAATTATTAAAAAATAATAAATATTATTTATTTTAATAATTAAATATTTTGCAATATTTTTAAATTTTAATCAATACAATTCAATACAATCACAAGTACAATCATACTACTTCATAATAATTTCAAACACACTTCCAGTCTAGTTAAGAAAAAGTCAATAGTGAACTCCACCAAGCGGTTCGATGGTCGCACGCCTCATTAATGTCAGTGGATTGTTTACCAAATCTGGGGATCGAATCCTCAGTTGCTAACATTTAACAATACTAACCTACTAACCATTGGTCTTATAAAATAAAATAAAAAGTCAATAGCGTAAGATTAAAATGGATTCTAAGTTGGGCTATGAACAGTCATTATCGGCCCATTTTAGCTCCGTGTACTGTTGTTGGCCCATTAAACCTATAAGCTTAAGCCCAAAAAAATTTGTCTATATAACCAACACCTTCTTCCCATCCTCTCCCTTCCGCCTG